ATTTTTATTTTAAATTTCGTTTTGATTGTTTTTTTATATATAAAGAGACCATTGATTTTCAGCACATAGATTGTTTACAAAGAGACCAATTATCAAAGGGTGCGGTTTCTATGAGATTGCAACCATAAAAAATTCAATCAAGGTGCCTCTCCAAATTTTATCATAATATGTGATTTTGCTGTAAAAAAGTTCTTAGGATTATCTGAATATCTATTATCATATTTAATTATAAAATTTCAAACTCATAAAATAGTTAAAATCAAGTAGATCTATAAACATATGAAAATATTGAAAATGGCCGGTCTAGATAATGTGTTGCAAGATGCACTATTTTCTGGGCTCAAAATTTTTTTTTTTTTTTTTTCATATTTATACATCTTGATATCAAGATGATCAACTTGATGGTTTTGTGAACATTAAAATTACATTTTTCGATGAATTTTTATTATGCATCATTAATTCTACATTTTAAGGTTGCAACCTTACATACACTTTTTCCTTTATCAAATTACTTCTTTTTTTTTAATGTTAACAGGGGATTTTAGAAAGAAAAAACGCCCCCCTTACATCAAATTACTTCTTTTTTTTTACTGTTAACAGGGGATTTTAGAAAGAAAAAACGCCCCCTTACAGTCTTTGACACCTTATATAAACTTTTTCATTGAAGCAAATAAGGTGGTTGATAGTAAAAATTGACAGGTCGAAATGCACCCGCTTTGGCAACGAAGGAAATTGAGAGACTTTTGTGGAACCGCGGGTATACATGTCGCGGCATATTCTCCTTTGGGAGGGCGAGGAGCTGTTTGGGGTTCCAATGCCATTTTGGAGTGTGAGGTTCTGAAAGAAATAGCTCAGGCCAAAGGAAAGACTGTTGCTCAAGTAAGCATTCATAATCTCTGCTCCCTTTCATCTTCTTCCTTTTTTGCATTTCCTTTTGTTAATCCAGCAATAGAATTTGAACTTGGGATGTAGTTTTGCAATTGTCAACACCTTAACTGATCGAACTCGAGCTCAAATCTCGCTGCCTCTTCTTCTTCCCTCTCTTTATTTTCATTCGAGTCGTCGATTATACAAGTGGTATTAGAGTTTTGCAAAAATTCTTACACAATTTTGAATGGGTTTTGCAGGTTTGTTTGAGATGGGGATTTCTACAAGGGGTAACGTTGGTGTTAAAGAGCTTCAACAGGGGGAGGATGAAGGAGAACCTCCAAATATTTGATTGGGAGCTCAATGAGAGGATCTGAACAAAATTAGAGAAATTCCTCAAAAGAAGTCATATCTTATTGAGATCTTTGTGTCAATTAATGGGCCTTACAAGAGTGTGGAGGAAATATGGGACGGAGAAATATAAAAGAGTGATTTACTTACGGACCTTAAAATTTTAGGTAAATACGGAATGCTCCGTTTATATATGGAAATTACAAAGCAAGTCGACTAACTTGCTTTTTTTCCTCGTAATTGCCTCTCGGTCAACTTGAATTTTGATTATTATTTTTTTAGCTTTTTAATTTTTTTCAGTAGTAGGGTAATGCCTTAAAGTTTGGGGCACTGTCCTTTTAATGAAAAATACTAAAAAAAAATAAATCAAAATTCGAGTTGATCGAGAAACAATTTTGAAAATATAAAAAAAAGTGGGTTGACCGTCCTTTTTTGTAATTTCTACTTTTAAACGAAATATTTTACATTTAACCTAAACTTTTAGGGTTCGTACATGAATCACTCAATATAAAACCTTGGGCTAGTAAGTCCATAAGGCCGTAATAAGATCAAACTTCTGTAAGTATGATGGTTTATAGGGTCAGTCTACACTCCACATCTATTTTGATTTGGAAGTTGTCAAAAGCTGTTCAGTTATACGAGTTTCTTCCCCTTCTTGATCACCATGAAGCATAAGTGTTTTCTACTAATTGTTATAGTCAAATGCTGTGCTGCAGCCTGAAACTCCATTTTGGAGATGGATTGAGGACCTAAAATATTTCTGATCACCTTCAAATCCATTTCTGCTCCCAAATATTGAACCTGGAGCTCCAAAATTGGCACATGACAGATCTGAGGAAAGTTCAAAATTCAAAGGTTGTTGTTCGATCTTAAGAGATTATCTTTTTCTAGTATATAGAGAATATTGGGCTTTATCCAAGGGAGTAAATAAACAGTATTCTCTCCCGAGAGCATAAAATCATTTCACTTCATGACAGATATTGAATCACTATTATGCCCATTCGCATGGTAAATCCCATAATTCCATGTGATACCCTAACTTTGCAATTGGAGTAAAATAGTCGATTCTCTCTATCTAATACATATATTCGAACAAGGGAAATGTTTTTATTTTTCCCAACAACATATAAATTATATGTGATCCTATTTCTTAACCGTTGGATTTGAATCAAACGGCTATGATTGTTCACACGACAATGTCATGGTAAATATTGTTTTATTTTTTCATTTTTTTACAAAAAATTATTCGATGAAATTTTGTGTGATCCATCATAAAATTAGGGCAAACCTGAAAAAAAAAAAAAACAAAAACAAAAAAGTAATAATTTTTGTAAAAAAATAACCAAAATGCCCTTGAAATTTTCAAGGGTATTTTGGTACCTTTTCGTCATCCAAAATATTTTATTATTATTTTGATAACGTGCGCCCTTGTTAGATATATGCATGCCCCAAATTTTACTTCAAAATCAAAAAATAAAAAACTATGAGCCATCTAATCAATATCTACTGGTTAATAGCTAGCTTGTGACATTATAACTCAAGCCATCCCAGCCAACTACTCAGATCATACCACCGAGACCAGAGTTCACATATACTATGTGTCTTAGTAGGGTCACATAGAAAGCCCTCACTTTAGACAAAGAGAGTGTATATAATGAGACCATTTACATTTGGTATAAGGAGGTCCCTATTTCCCTCGTTAGATGTCAAATTGGATGGCTTGGGTTGAGTCATGGATTCGAGAATATTTTTTTTGGAACTGTGTCTAATGAATGACATTCTTACAATCATCCATTTTGAAATTTAAAGAACAATAATAATTGTTACCCTCTTATACAAAAGGTGAATAATCTCATTGTAGACAATCCTCGACAATAAACTATTGTACCGTGTATGGGAGTATATTTTACCCTTTATTTTATGGGTACGGTTCATATGGAACCGTGGCTCTAAACAATCAAAGTAAAGCCTACCTTCAAATAGTGTCAAGCAATGTGGTTTCAATATAGTAAATCTTTGTGATAGCCTTAAAATATATTTTCATCTTTAATTATAAAATTTATAGCTTCAAAAATAGTGTAGATTGAGCATATCTATAAAAACTTAAAAATCTTGAAAATTGACAGTCCAAAAAATGGGTTACGAGATGCATTATTTTCACCACTTGAAATCCATTTTTTTCTCATGTCCATACATCTTGATGTCAAGATGATCAATTTGAGGATATTTGGGTATCAAAACAACCTCTTCTAGTGAAATTTTTGAGGTATGCTCTAATTTGACTGTTTAGAGCTTTGGCTCTATATAAACTTTTCCCTTATTTCAATAAAAGAAAAAGTTTATATAAGGTTGCAACTTGTACTATTGAAGTAAGTAGCACCTCAAAAAACCTACAGTGGAGAGTGTTCCGGCATAGGAGAACCCTCCAACTGAGCATTTCAACCTTGAGTTGAATGGACATGAAGACAAAAAAGAAGTCCAATTCCAAAAACTTGCGCATCATGTAACAAATTATCTGGACCGTCTATTTTCAAATGTTTCTCGATCTGCTCGATATTGTACTATTTTTAAATTTTTAAATTTTATAACTGATAATAAAAAGAGATTTTACAGCCTAAGGTTTCCAATGCTTAAATGACATTTTTAAATAATTTTTATAAATGCGCCTTACTTTCATGAGGCAACCTTATACAAAACCTCACTCTTCATTAAATATTATTTTAGTCTTCTTATTAACCTTACTCTTGTAGAGCCGACTCACACCCTACCAACCTATAGCGAAAAATCTGCCTCTGTATTCTCTCTCTTGTTTCTCTCACTACAAGGCCTCTATCTCGAGAGTGCACCCTCTACAAGCCCATTTCCATCTCTCTACATTTTAGCTTTTTGAACAGCAAACACCTCCGCGCAAACATGTTTCTCTCTCACTTCCTCCCCCTCTCTCTCTCTCAAAGCAACAATTTCATCTCTCTCTAACAGCAAAAAAAACCATGAATTGCATCTCTCTCCAATAAAAACAAAAATCCAATCCATAAATCTCTAACAAAAAGCCATGAAGAGCAGCATCTCTTTCTCTCTCTCTAACACCAAAAACCCATGGATGAATTTCAATATGCTTTGTTCTCTCACGATTTCATGCTTCTTGTTGAGAACTACAAAAACCCGACTCATGAATTTCATCTCTCGCTAACAGCAAAAACCCATATATTGCATCTCTCTCTCTCTCATTATCTGAATAATAACAATACTCAATATGTGAAAGGAAAAAGTTTATATAAAAGTGAGGCCCTAAACAATCAAATTAATGAGCATTTAAAAAATTTACTAGAGGAGGTTGTTTCGATGCTAAGATGTATGAACGCGAGAAAAAATTAGATATCGAAACTAGTACCTCTTGTAGTGCATTTTTCTGGAATTAAACCATTATAGAGAGAAATTATTTCAAATATTAAGTTTTAGATAGAAAAACAATGTCATATTCAAGTTTTCAGATAAATCTCAAAAGAGAGAAACAATCTCAATTTTTTAGAGAGAGAATCATGGATACATAAAGGATGTTTTCGCCCAAAACAAAGCCATTTTCTTCCCTGGGGACGGCAAAAATAAATAGTAATTGCATTGATTGTGCGGTCTAAAGAGTATTACAGCTAACCATGCCTAGAAAGTTTGGTTCAAGAGGGTGTAAATAATTTTTAAAAAATAAAAAATATTGTTTTAGTGGTAAAAAGTGGGGAAGAAGGAATCGATCCGATATTTAAAAGTTGGAGGGGGTCTATGGGATATACATAGACCCGAGAGTCTACTACGTTTAACCTTTTTAATAATACATGCATATAGCATAGCATAGCATAATGATCCACTTTTCAAAGGGCATGGCGGTTGTTTAATGCTCTGTTCTTGTGATACATTTCAGTTGTTTGTATTGACTGATGGGGGAAGAAGACATGAGGTTTGTGGTGCTAAACTCAGGGCACAAGATGCCCCTTGTGGCTATGGGCACTTCCAAAACTCCCTTTGGTGAAGATGTATCCATAAAAGGCCCCATCCTAGAGGCTATGATGGTGGGTTACAGGCACTTTGACACTGCTAGTGTCTATAAGTCAGAGAGAGACCTTGGTGAAGCTGTGGCCCAAGCCCTCGTTACAGGTGTTCTCCGGTCTCGGGCCGACCTCTTCATCACCTCCAAGCTTTGGACCACTGATGCATATCCAGAGGGAGTCTTGCTGGCCCTTCGCGAAACACTGAAGTAATGTCAGCCCTTCCTTTCCATTTTAGCACTTTCATGACATACTTAACCAATGTTTGAAGAAATGCCGATTTGGATTAGGAATCACCATTTTAAAACTGATTTTGAGGGTTGCCAGGTTCTGGAGATCGGAATCAGTCCCATTCTCTTTAAACATGAGGAGAAAACCATGTTTTCTATGTTTGATGAATTTGAAATCTGATCATCAAACAAATACCCGAAAGCCGATGGCCAACCCACACTTTTGATCCGTGTTCTAAAAGACTGCACTTTACCATTTTAGTGTCTTAGTTTGGGTCTAGCCTTTCTTAATTAAGTGAAGCAGAACTCAACTAGTCTAACTCAGTCTAGTTTATGTGCTCTCAACAGGCCGCGAACTCCATAACCAAACATATTTGAACCTGTTTTGCCGGTTTCTAAAATTTTATTATTGTGTTTTAAGACTCGACCGAGTTTCAGACAAACTCAGGAAGTCTATAGACTTGACTCAAGCTCAAGACCCTAGCGAGTCCAGACCTCGGTCCTTTTAAACCACTTCCACTAATATCCTTTGGGGTCTGCTAACTGTGTCTTGTGTCTATGATATACAGTACATCATTTGGGGCATCCACTCTTTCTTCTCAAGATGGATGGCAGAGATGAGACCAAGTTCCAATGATGGAAGTACCCCATCGATCTATGCCTCATCTCCACCACCCATCTTTAGAAGGGGTGGTTATGCCTCCGATGCATATCCGAGTTGAACATTTTCAGGATTTACGTTTTAACCCAATTCTCAGGCGATTGCAAGTAGAGTATTTGGATTTGTACCTCATTCATTTTCCAGCAAGATCAAAGACAGCAGAGTTTGGAAAAGAAGAAATTCTCCCCATTGATTTGGAAGGGACATGGAAGGCCATGGAAGAGTGTTGCAAAATGGGACTCACCAAGTCCATTGGAGTCAGCAACTTCTCATGCAAGAAGCTACAAGATTTGCTGGCCATTGCCACCATTCCCCCTGCAGTTAACCAGGTGGGTCTCTTCAAACTGGCTCCTAGGAGCCATGCACACTCTACTCGTGTGCTCGCGCACACGCACACAGATTTTTTTGTTGCCTTAAGAAATTGTGATATTTAAACCATGTAGCTGGACTCGGCCGAGTAACTAAGCCTCGACGTGTGGCCGAGGCTGGGAAGTGGCCAGTGCCAAGGCAACTCACAAAACATCAAAAAAATACCTTATAAAAGAATGTTAAAAATATAAATGTTGGTGTTTATAGAAAACATCAATTTTTTAGTTCGAGATATGTTTTTAGATGATTTTGATCAATGAATCGGGACTCGTCCCAGCCAAAGGACTCACCCCTCCCTGGCTGAGGTGAGTTACTTGGCCGAGTCCAGTTTAGCATTAAAAAATAAAAAGCAATAGAAAAATATTTTGAAAAGTGAAAAACATGTAAAAACAAATTGATACCTAAACAATTTTAAAAGGTTAAAATAAGCTTAAAAATGTAAAAGAAATGGATTTAAAAAAAACTGATTTGCAAAGTGGGAAATTTAAATAATTCAAAAAAAGAAGAAAACACAGAATTAGTTATCGTAGCAAAAAACACTCACCAATCTTCGCCAAATACATCTAAATTAGTCTCTATTTAGTTCCCGATATCACAAATAAATTTAACAAAATGGTATCCAGTGTCCCCAATTTCGAAACCCGAACATTAGAAAGAAAATAAGTCTCCATTTCCTTGGAATCAAATACAAAAGCAAAAGACAAGTAGTGTCATGGCGTAGTTGAAAAGAGCTATCCATCTACAAGGACAAATATCACATCATTGATCAATAATTCAAAGGAAATTCATACAAATTCATCTAAGAGATGTGTTCTTTAACATTGTACTTATATTTTAATTTAATTTTAAAAGTCCCACCGAATACACGTGTTCTCTAACATTCTACTTGTTCCTTACGAAGAAGCATCCAACAAGGACGCGATTCATTGATCCTCCCCTTATTCCCTTCCCTCGTTTTTGATATCCAAATATCTCTTTTTTTCTTTTTCTTTTTTTCCTGATTTCACTTTTAATTAACTTTTAACTATTAAAAAAAAGAAAAAATGTATAGAAGATGCAGCTCAAAAATCCATCGAAAAGGGTTGTTCTAATGTTGAAGAACCCTCTAATTGATCATCTTGACATTGAGATGTATGAATATAAAAATAAAAATAAAAGGGATTTTGAGTCTCAAAAATAGAGCTTCTTGCAACATATCATCTACACTGTCTGTTTTCAAGATTTTCATATGTTGATAGATCAACTTGATTTTAACCATTTTTGGAGTTTAAAATTTTATAACTAGATATGAAAATAGATTTTGAAACAATCCTAAGAATTTTTACACTTAAATTACATGTTATGATAAAATTTGGAGGTGCGCCTTAATTGAATTATTCAATGTTGCAACCTTATAGAAACCACACCCTTAAAAAAAGGGGCTATTGTATCTATCTTCGCCTCTTAGCATCATGCAAGTCCTCAGGAAATTCATGTCTAGCCAAAGGTACTGTACTAGACTAGATTGGAGGGCAGCACTCTAATTATAATAAGCTCTTACCATAATGTAGGAAGATCAAAATGGAAGATGTGGAAAAATTTTCAAATGGAAATTCTAACATTCACTTTACTAAAGGAGGTCACTAATATTGTAAGGGTCTAGTTTTTCAGGTGGAAATGCACCCATTTTGGCAGCAGAGGAAACTGAGAGGCTTCTGTGAAGCCAAAGGTATCCATGTGGAAGCATTTTCTCCTTTGGGAGGGGGAGGAGTCACCTGGGGTCCCAATGCAGTTTTGGATTGTGAGCTTCTCACAGAAATAGCTCAGGCCAAAGGAAAGAGCCTTGCGCAGGTATGTATTTCTCTATTTGCTAAAATCATTTCTTGCTCACACAGAAGCACATTATCCACTTGCTCCCTCAGGCAAGACTTATCTTAGGAGTACTTTTGGTTTTTAGGATCCCAAATTTTCGGCATGTATACTTCAACTTAGCAATGAACGTAAAAGAAATGGAGAAAAAAAAAAAAAAAAAATCAAAACATACTCTTTGTAAGCCTCAAAAATCCTAAAATTGAACATAGACTATCCAACTTTTGGAAAGCAAGATCTAAAAGCTCTGCTAATTCCAGATCCTAATATCTTCTTTTTCTTTTCTTTTTTCCCAAAAATAACCATCTCATGACTTTAAGTAGATCCCATAATTTCAAATCAGAAAGATCTTCCTAAGGCTCCAACGAGGGAGCAAGTTGACAGTATACTCCCACTGGAACATAGCATAGAAAGGGTAATGATTGAGTAACAATATGATGCATGTACAAGTTTATATCTTGTGCATACCTGTGACGGGTGAGGTTTGTATACGGTTGACTCCTTATACTATAGCAATAAGGTACACCTCTAAATTTTACTTGGAGATGTTGTTTTAATGTCGGAGACCTTATGATGGCTTGAAAATCTATTTTCATCCTTAGTTATAAAATTCAGAATTCCAAAAATGATACAAATCGAGCAGAAAAGTAAACACTTAAAAATCTTGAAAATAAACGGTCCCAATAACAATGTTATAAGATGAACTATTTTTTGAATTTGAACTTCTTTTTTTATTTTCTTTATTTCTATACTTCTCGAGATCGAGATGTCAATTGGAGGTTTCTCAAATATCGAAAAACTATCTTGTGTTGATTTTTAAAGTGCACCTTACTTCAATAGTATAAGGTTGCGACCTTATATAAACATTTTCTTGCTGCGACATCTTTAATTTTCTTATTTTCAATATGCATTTCATTCAAAACCCCAAAACATGAGGAATATAGAATGGGTTCTGCAGGTTTGTTTGAGATGGGGATTTCAGCAAGGGGTAACACTGGTGTTAAAGAGCTTCAAAAGGGAGAGGTTGAAGGAGAACCTCCAAATATTTGATTGGGAGCTCAATGAAGAGGAGCTGCACAAAATTGGTGAAATTCCTCAAATGAAGTTTGCTCGTGCTGAGAAGTATGTAACGCCTGAAGGACCTTTTAAGACTTTGGAGGATATATGGGATGGAGAGATATAAAACCATGGCCAATAAGACTGTAGTGAGTCAAGGTCTTTTACTTCTACAAATTTGATGGTTATGGGGTCATTTAATGCTTACTAATTTGAATTGTTCACAAGAATAGGGTTGGAGCTTGAGTAGTTAGCAGTTGACACGTTAAGCAATGGTACATCTTAAGTTCTATTCCTACCACACTGATCTACTAAAAAAAAATCAAATTAAACACAAGTTAGTTCGAATTCTAAATATTTTCCTTTGTGAACCACTAAGAATAACCATGCTCTATCAATTATTCTAACTCAAGATTACGCGGCCTCAATGATTTCAAATGGGAAAAGGGAAAAGTTTATATTAGGTTGACACCTTAAAATGTAGAATTAAGGTGCAATTCTAAAATCTTTAAAAAAAATGTTGCTTTGATGCTAGAAAACCATTGAATTAATCATCTCAACATCGAGATGTCTATATATAAAGAAAAAAATAGTTATCTAGACTTAAAAAAAAAAAAATCATCCAACACAATAGCTGGACTGTTCATTTTCAAGATTTTTCATATGTTTATAGATTTGAATTATTTTTGCAGTTTAAAATATTATAACTAGAGATAAAAATAGATTGCCACACCATTCTAAGAATTGTAGACACCAAAATAGCATCTCACGATGAAGTTTGAAAGTGCACCTTACATTGATTGACCTTAAATATATAGAGAAAAAATAGATATCTAGACTTATTAAATAAAAAAAAATCTTGCAACACAATATTTGGGCTATTCATTTTCAAGATTTTTCATACATTTATAGATTTGAATCATTTTTGCAGTTTAAAATATTATAACTAGAGATAAAAATAGATTGCCACACCATTCTACTAATTGTAGACACCAAAATAGCATCTCATGACGAAGTTTGAAGGTACACCTTACTTTGATTGACCTTAAAATGTAGAATTAAGGTGCAATTCTAAAATCTTAAAAAGAAATGTTGTTTTGATGCTAGAAAAACATTGAATTGATCATCTCGACATCGAAATGTATATATATAAAGAAAAAAATAGATATCTAGACTTAAAAAACAAAAAAATCTTGCAACACAGTATATGGACTGTTCATTTTCAAGATTTTTCATACGTTTATAGATTTGAATCATTTTTGCAGTTTAAAATATTATAACTAAAGATAAAAATAGATTGCCACACCATTCTAAGAATTGTAGACACCAATTTGATTGTTTAAGGTTGCAGTTTTATGCAACTACACCCTATTAAAAATAATCAGAAGATTCTATACATGCAGGAGCAATTCCTCCATTCACTCCTTCGACTAAAACCCAATATACCAGTATTTGTGGGAGACCAATTAACAACCAAATCTCAAAAGAAGAGAAAAGGTCAAGCACACTGTTTGCCTAACAAAATAACCATCCAACTTTTTAAGACAATCAAATCTAATTGTTTAAGAACTTCAAATCCATTTATTTAGCAAGATAGATCAAACCATAGGTGGATCCCAAACTTCCATGACAAATCCTCCTAAATAGCTCTCTCGTATAAGGAGGAAGGTATAAAACATGTTCCCAAGTGTATATTCACACTTCAAAAAATTAGAGATGCGTAATTTGTTAATAACCTCACTACCTGCTAGAAATGCGAATGCATCGAAATATAATTAAAGCGAAATTTATCAAAATACCCATGAAAGACGCACAATCTAGAATTTTACAATTTTGACACTTACTCCAGCTCATGAACATGTGTCTTTAATGGGTATTTTAAAATTAAATTAAACAATATAACTTCTCAAATGGGTATTTTGATATTTATCTCAAATGGGTATTTTGATTATTTTGGCATAATTAAACCCCCAGCACTTGTGCCAAGCATTTGTAACTTTTTTCCATGTATTTGGTAGTGTGTGTGGACGGTGAGAGGACCCCATGAAAACAAAAACAAGGATTCCAAATTTTATAGAGAGCGAGAGGAGCCCATTGTGGATGAATTAAGGAAAATAATATGGTGAGTCACAATATTACTACTTTTTTTCAAGGGAATTAGGACTTCAAACACATAAAAAATCACTGGTTTTTGTCTCAAATTCATGTATTTTGGAGCTCCAGGAAAGTGCGAATATGATATTTGAGAAACTAAAATAAACAGCAAAAAACAAAAAAACAAAAAAATACAGAATTTCAGATTGATCATGGAGATCTAGATGATAGAACTACAAAAATTTGGACCTAAAATCCATCTCCAAGATGGATTTTGGTAGGGTGGACTCACCGTAACAGGTGCATCCCTAAACCGTACCCATTAAGGAAAGCAATAGGAAAGGATCAGAACTTTTAGCTCAAACCACTTGACGTTTTTTTTTACTTGTGAAAGTAGGATCCTCTTAAGGCAAAATGAACTAGTAATTGTGAAGACTGAGAAGAAGAGCATTCTATTTCAAGTAAAGAGGAAAGTAAATAAGGTAGAACCAATAGAAACTGAAATCTGAAGGAGCCATCACCAAGTACCCAAACAGAATTTCACAAAAACATCTCTATTCCTGGACGACAACCCCTCTTTCCCCCAACTCCTCAATATCACCTTTCCACAGTTCTTGACAATTTGAAATTCTTCTTACACAGGGCATTTGAACCAGAACCAAGAACTCACAATGCCTCTCTCTCTCTCTCTCTCTCTTC